CCCCAAAACCCCAAAACCCCAAAACCCCGTGATAATTGATTTCATCAGAATTATTGATAACCACATATTAAAAGTAAAATATCTGCTTGAAATAAAAATATGAAAGAGAATTTATCAATAGCTTATACAATTTGATTTATATGCTTATATTATCAACCATTCACTCATTTGAAGAGAACTAGTCATATTATCATCTCCACTACATTCGATTATATCCACTTTGTGATCTTCAACTGCATTAGTCATAAAGTTTCTCATAATGAATTTGATATCCAAAATGCTATCAAAATTTATGAGCTCTTGATCAGGGATAATTTATTATTACAACATCTTTGGCAATACATTGCAAAATCCATGCTGTGCTCTGAATTACCGACATTCTTACTTCTCACGCTTGATAGGATGAATATTTTCCTTATTATCACTATAATACTCCAAAACCTTATTTCTTTAGCAAGATACATTGAATAGTCTGTTCATCTTAAACAAGTGCATAGTATCATTGATATATAAATCTTTATTTTCAAGCTCCACCATTAAAAATACATCTTTAATAGATATTTCAATAAGTTCCCTGTATTGGCTGAACAAAAAGTCATTTTAAGAAAGTGCAAGGCAAGAGTTGCTAGACTTTTTCATTTTTAGGTTCAGTTAAGCCCTCTTCTTGATTGCTTTTTTACATATTGATATTAAGTAATCCATCTTTACCAATTAAACTCGTATGTTTTCTTAAAATTGCTAAAGTTAATCTTTTTTTTCTCTTAACAAACTATGAAGCAAGTTCTATGTAATCTACTAATTCATTAATTTCCTAGATGTGTGAATCACCAATTACCTTATATAATCACTTTTACTATTGATTAAAGTTTAGATAGCATCATTTACTAAACAATGATTATCTTTTACAAACTAAGTAATTTAATCTAGTGATAATTTGCTAAATAGCTAAAAATCAGTAGGCCTTATCTATTTTTTAACATCGTTTTCCCTTAACTTTGCCTCATTGGTCATATATTTACTGTTTATATCAGTATTAGAGTTAAATAATTTGTTTTGGACAGCACGTTGAGGCATAGAGACCTTTGCTACCAGTTAACTTTATTGCAATACTTTTTCTGATGTCTATCTTTTAGAGTATTAATCATTTGTCCACATTTTTAAGATTATAATTTATGATAATAATTCTATAGGAATATACTATATTTGAATCCTTTGGACTTAAAGTTTTTAATTTACTCATATCTTAATTAGTGGGGTTTTGGGGTTTTGGGG